CAGACAGACAGACACCAAGAGGGACTCTCCTTGTTGGAGCTCCTGTCTTGGTGTAGCACTCCAAGCATTCTCCAAAGACCCTTGCGAACAGTTGTCTTTAGCAGCACACCTAGCAAGATATAAGCTATTTCAAATTAGCTGCAAACCCAAAATCTCTCACAGAAAATTCCCTCCCTTTTGTTATCAGGGGAGACAAGCCTAGTGTCCCTACCAGCCATGCCGTTACTGCCACAGCCGCCGACCAGTGGGCAGCTCCTCTGCTAGGACAACCTCAGAGCATCTAGAGCTTTTTGCATGTGAGTGACAATATCTACTTCATCCAGATGTTTAGAGAGCAGGGGAGAGCCTGGCCTTCTGCTTCCACCTCCTGCCTGTGCACTGACCCACTCAACGCTACGCCCAGCTCCTGACGGCACCACTGGGAACGGAGGGCACTCAGCACCTCCGGCACTCACCCAGCACCTGACATCCCTGAGGTGTCCACAAAGACATTCATCAGTGTGTTTTACTGGAGCAGTGGTCATATAATGTCAGCCCAACAGCGGAAGTGTTGACTTACAAATTGTTTCTCTATCTTGTGAGATCCCTGTGGCTCCTACATATATATAGAATCATAGAATCATTTAGGTTGGAAAAGACCTTTAAGATCATCGAGTCCAACCAGTGACCTAGCACTGCCAAGTCCACCACTAAACCGTGTCCCTAAGTGCCACATCTACACTGCTTTCAAATACCTCCAGGGATGGGGACTCAACCACTTCCCTGGGCAGCCTGGTCCAGTGCCTGACTACCCTTTTTCGGTGAAGAAATTTTTCCTAATATCCAGTCTAAACCTCTCCTGGCACAACTTGAGGCCATTTACTCTCGTCCTGTCATTTGTTACTCAGCAAAAGAGACCGACACCCATGACACCCACATGTATATACATGCATATTAATTTTTTTAAAAATAATAAGACCAGGCCACTAGGAAAGAACATATGTAAAAGTGACATAGCACTAAGGCTCTTAAAGTGCACGAACTTTAGAGAGAATATGGGAAAAGGATTTTAAAGGAGCTTAAATGTAGGGACTAATCTACATGGTTTTGGCTATACCTCTTTGTTTGGAGCAAGGGAAGGGGAATCAGTCTCCAAGCAAATGTTCTCCAGTGGAATCTGTTTAATGATCTTCTCTCAGCAGTGCAGCCAGGAAAATAAACAAGACAGAATAGCCCTTGAGAAGGTCAGTCTCACCACAGCAATCAATATAGCAACATGCAAAGTAAGTACCAGCTCTGCCAGAATGGCATTCAGACTGTTTAAGCCTTTGGAGATAATCCTATATTTCCAATGAACTGCAAACACAGGCTGAACAGAGTATTTATGTCCCTTAAGACCTCAGACAGGACCAACAGCTTATAGCTTTTAGAAACCTTAGGAGGGGAATGAAGAGGAAATAACTTGGGTCCTGAGAATAACTCTGCTTTGGGTGCTTACTTCTCTCTGCTGTCTGTACAACCACCTTGGGCTCCTAGGAGCTACGCACAGGACAAAAGCGATGTTGGATGCCAGAAAGCAGCCCCACAAAGCTGCTGAAAAGACACAGGTCAGTTTAACACACTGGTGAAGGAATAGCACAGCCATGACCCGGCTGGCAGCTCGGGAGCACCGTGCTCAGAAACATCCCAGCATCCCTCCTCCCAGCCTAAGTGAATGGATAGGGAGAGCTCATTATTGCCTCCTTTTAACCTAGGCAGATTTAGCACTCTCGGTGTCTCTCCTCTCAGCTCAGCTCTTCCCAGGGTAAATATCTGAGGGCTGGAAGTAAAAGACTTTGTGCCTCCATCAGGCCAGAGGGAGGTGAAGGAGCGGCCAGAGCCTGGGGCAAGAGCAGACCTGGGCAATGTTTGGATGGATGGTGGTGAAGGTGAAGCTCCCACCACTCCCTGACAAGGGGTTGGCTTGGGAGAGGCTGCATTTTTGGGGAACCAAAGTTACTTACATGTTTGGGAAACTTTCTTTTATTTGTAAACACCAAACCATTTCACTGTGAATTTCATACTGAGCTTTCAGTTAAGAAGTGTTGAAATGGTTGGTTTTGCCTGGGAAATACTGAAAAAAAATTAGCCTCTCATTCCAAAATGGGCAGTTTTGTTTGAAAACAACAGCTTGTGGGAGGCTCAGCTTCAAACTGCTACATGAGGTCTCTTTCTCGTGGTTTTCTCCAAAATCAAAAAAAAACCCAGGTCTCATTTTCAGTCCAAATGAAAACAAATTTACGGGAGCATGGACATTTTTCATGGCGTGGAAGTCACCCCCTAGCCAGCCACAGACAACCCCCCATCCCTACTAGTATCACTTTTCCTTCTGCATTCGTTCAGATACTGGAAAATGATAGTTGGAAGAGAAGGCAAAAGGCCAGGGCTCATGCAATCCAATTATAACCCTGCTGAAACGGCTTCCAGGAACTCTGCAAGGACTAACCTGATCATGCCTTGTAACGATCAGAGGAAAAGAAAAATAATAGCCAGCTTGTACCCTTTCCAGAGTGACAGACTGTCTCCCAGCAAAGTTATGGAGCAGTATGTCCTGAACACCTACAATGTATGTAAGAAACCCAGGGAGCTGGGATCAGGCTGCAGAGTTGAGCAACCCTAACACTGTGTATCAGGTTTTCTTATAGCAGGACAAGACGACTCCAAGATTATAGTCAGTACTAGTCGCTGAAAAATGCAAAGCTTGGATTTGTTAGCCCTGCCCTCCATATGGTGAAATGGCTGCTGAGGTTCCCTCAGCCCACTGGTAGGTAGGCAAGTACCACCAAACTAACTTCTTATCAGTCACTAGAGGACTGGTAACGGGCACATTTTTCAATAAGCACCTGCCTGGCCCATATTAGGACTTGCAAATATAGGAAAAATCTTTGCTGTAATTGCTCAGCTACCTCTCTTCCAGGTCCACAGCCCCTTTTTTCTGTGCTGTTGTCTTCTGCCATGCTTATATTTTAAGGTATGCACAAACATAACTGTTCTTCCATGAGTGGAAAAGGTATACATTTTTTGCCCATTAGGGAAGTAAAATTTGGAATATACACATCTGCTTAAAATAGTCCACAGGGAGAAAAAAACCTAATGAAATCATACTTTCTTACCCTAATTCAAAAAAACCCACCGTATTGGCTAATGCTGAGGCAGTAGCTGTTTTGCTGCACTACCTTCACCATTCTGCCTGAAGTTACAGTGCTTTGCTTGGTCTCCGTTTCACTGATTTTTCATCTGATGTACTTTTTCAGGTGTACTTTGTGACTACTTATGTTACTAGGTCAATACTAAGTAGCACCCCTGTGCTTTCCACCCGGCTCTCTTGACATTCCTGAATCTTGAGACATTCGCGGCAGAGATGCATTACCATCACCTCTCCGTAAGCAGAGGCAATACGTGCAGTTCTTGTACGTGAGCAGAGTCATCTCACCGATCACTTCCAAAAAATAAATTATTTCTAAGCCCAGGTCCTGTACCCACTGTTAAAAACCCAGGAGCAATGCCTACGTTCCTCCTTCAGGAAAGCAATTGCTTGTCTGCCAGCTGAGCAAGGATGCACGTTTCTGCTCAACGCAAACACGTGCCTTAGAAAAACAGAGTAACGCTGAGCGAGTTCATCTTTATCTTTAATACTAGTTCGTTTGCTTTTAGAAAGCAATAGCCTTCCATTAGCAATAAAGAGCAGCTGTGGAGGTGAGCAGAGTTAAACTTGGCACTCAGAGCACAGTGGAGAGATAGGAGCACAGGCCACTCGGGAAGACAGCCATGTGCGGTTCAGAGGTAGGCTTTGCACCCCCTTGCTGCGCGCAGCCGCAATAGCTGTGGAAAAGCAAGGCAGACCTTTTTCCTTCTAGTTTTCCTTCTACTTCCATCAGTTTTGGTGGTGGTGCACGTCCACCAAACACGTACTAAGATGATGGCACTGAACAATTACTGTGGAGGGCACTGCTTCATCTGCATCCTTTTGCTATTGCAAGTGCAAGGGAAAGGACCTCACCTGGTTTTCAGTCACAAATTGACTCTACAGGGCAGGCAGTCTGGGGGAAGGGTACTATTCTACAATGAGTTCCCAAACCAAACATAGACAGATCTCTCTTTGCGTGGATCCAGATCCCTATTTTTTGTGGATTTAGCAGCATAAGACATGTCAGAAGTCACACGCAAAGGTACTTTCAAGTCCCCCTTTACACTGACTCTCCCCGATGCTGTTCTGAGCAGGCCATGACAGCCAGAGGGCACAGAGTGAGCAGGGGCTCCTCTGACTTGCCCTGGACTGGACAGAAACCAAAAGCAGCAGGCTGGGATAAACACTCAGCCCTTTTTTCCAGCCCCACCTTTGTATCTGCTATGCCAAGTCCAAAGGGTATGTAAGTGGAATAGCTGGCAATGGACTATACCCAACACACCCTCTCCTCATCACTCAAACTGCCTTATGGCCTGATCACACGGACAGTGCACAGCAAAGCAGTAGTGCTGCAGGAAATCTGATCTTTGATTTCCTCCAAATATTTGGTTTCCAGCGATCGCTGCTGGCCACACGCTATTTAATTTTTGTTGCTGTTTGCATCCATCTGAAGTTTAAGAGAGTCTTTCGCAAGTGTTGGATTAAATTTAACTCGTTTTTATTCTGTCAGTGCCTGGGCACCTATGCAAATACAGCTATGACCCTTCCCCATATATATAAACTGCATGCAGCATGCTTATTTTTATTAATAAGAAGATAAAGTTCTTTGTCCCATCCTCCCTCCTCCATTGCAAGTTATATATATCAAGGGCTGAAACCTGAACTTGAGTCAAGAAGGAGTTTTTAAGAGTAACTGGACAGGAGGCATATCTGCTTCTGGGCATCATGGGCAAATCACTAGCCAAGTTCCCTGGAGGGGAAAGGAGACCCTCTTTCATTTTTCTCCCGTTTTCAATGAGAACCTTTCCTCTTCTACATCATATAGCATGGGAGAGAAAATGAAGCCTTGAGAGTAACTATTACAAGTCTAAATCCTGAGTGGTCCTTTTAGGGAAGCATAACCCAGTTATCACTGAAAGGATGGTGTGGGTACTAACAGAAAAAGGTGAAGAACCATAAAAAGAAGCCTCCTTTGGGAGAAAGGCTAGGAAGCCTCCCACATCCTTAGCAGAAGCACAGCTGGAAAGGAACATTCTTCTAGTTTGCATTTGGCAAAGATGCCACGCTCCTAGATGTAAGTGCTCACAAGTATTGTTATTTTTTCATCTCAAGCCATTGAACACTTGGATAAACTCAAACTTCAAAACAACTCTTAGTGTTCTTTACAGGATGCCTGTGGAGCTGGGATGCAGGAAACAGGTGTCGAGCCTAGTTAAAATCTGATATATGAAGGAGACACTGTGTGAAAGGGTTCTGGCTCACGCCGGCGAGTCCAGTTGTTTTGCTGTGGCCAGCTGCAGAGCAAGGACTCTCTGCTGTTCCTCGCATTGCTGAGGCGCGGACGCGAGCCATGGAGTGAAGTCCCGCCCAACCCGCACAAAGAGCCAGTTAAGACTTCACAAAATGCGATGAACTTCAAACTGTGGGGATCTAATGCCTTCGCTAGCTTAGTTTTCTCAGGAGAGTGGCAGAAGCTCTTAGCAGTGAAGAAACAGAGCAAAAACCAGCACCCTCCAAAAGGCAACATACCTGGAAATATAGTAACATATGAATAATAAAAATCAAGAAAATGTGACGTCAGCTATGAAAATACTCCTGGTAAAAGTAAAAAAAAAGTAGCTTCTCTAAAAAAAAAAAAGCTAAAGTAGCTTCTCTAGCTTCCCTACATCTTCATTGCAGGAAACCAGCATTTCGGACATCTATCAATACACTCCCCTTGTGGGATTTTGCAATTTTCATTTTACTCCTGCACAGATGTTTAGCCAGGAAAATAAAGTTTTTGGTTTTAATCTCAACTCATTTCATATCTATCCATGAAGAGGAATGTAAGCAGCCAGAGACTATGAGTTACACGTACCTTAAGACAGTTTGCATATAGTCAAATCAAGCAAACTCTGGTTATGCAGAAATCAGAGCAGATTACCTTGCCCATGGCCACCAGCTTATCTCTGTATTTCTCGAAGAGCGGGAGGACAGATTCCATGTCCTGTAATAAACCAGCTCACATGCTTTGTAAAGGCTGCTGGGTGCTAAGCTGAGCCATAGCAAACAAAACCACACGCAACTGTATTATGGTGCATCTTGAAATGCAAATCATGAAAACGACAGTCCAGGACAGAGGGGATCTCTGTGTTACTAACAGCTTCTGAATAACCTAATTACACAGCCCTTTGAGAAGAAAATGAAAAGACAGATTCAAAGAGGGTTGGAGGGATGCTAGTCCAGGTAACTGCTAGTGAGCAGAGGAAGACAGACCCCATTCTTCCTAATTTGGCTGAACTAAGCCTCATCTTCTAAGAGCTGGGAAACCTCTGAGAAAGGCATCTTGGCAACTTAATAGGTCCCTGGCAGCCTGGTCCTGGGTGATGTCCTTCCCAGAGTAAAGGCAGTTGTCAGTGCCAGGGAACAGGTCTCATTGAACCAACGTACCAGACCAGTCCCACAAATCGCTGCCTTTTCGGCAGAGCCCTTTGTCACTCTGGGCTATTCAAGAGCACAGGGTCGTGTTCAGGAGCTGCACCAGCAAACAGCACACGGACACAACAATTTCCCATGCGCCCTGTCCTCAGCTCTGGTAAAACTTCACTGTGGGCTTCCAGCAATGAGACTCCCATCCAGTGCCATGTAGGACAGAGGCTAGGAGGGAAGGAGACTTCTCCCCATCCCTGGGAGATGGCAGCAAGACAGCCTCTACCAGCAGGGCTCCCGCTGAACCTCAACTCTATCTGCCGCTGGTGGCAACTGGGTCAACACTTTACCCTCCTCGAGTTATGCCCCAGCGTTCACCCTCCCCTGCCACAATCTGCATCCACTAAGAGCAGGGATGAAGCAAGACCACTGCTGTGTAGCTGCACCTCTCAAAAAAAAGGTCAACCTAAGGACTCCAAGGGGAAGCTCTGATCATCCTGACGCTGCAACAGCCTCCATGTGCTGGTCAAGAAACAACCTCTTTGGATAAATGTCCCGCACACATACATAGATTGCCAATGGATGTGCTGCACTCACTGGGAGCGTAGAAGGGATTATTTTGGAGAGTGCCGAAATCTGCTTCTGCATATTATATACCAGATAAGCCCACTGCACATGCACTTGCCGCTGCCTCGACTCAGCACAGAGGTCCTGTGTAGTACAGAGCTGAGTTTTCACCATGACTTTTCCAGGCAGGAATACTGGCTCCTAAAAGAGAAGGGAAGTTATCTAGCGATGCTTTGATTGGAGCTCCCCACATAGTGCTCCATTTAACTTCTTCCCACAGCGCTCCATTTGGTCGCTTCCTCCCCCTTTGTTGTGTGTCCAGAAATGTTCTAAGCACAAAAAATGCTCTCTCCATATATTTATAGCAATAAACCAGTGCCAATCAGGACTTCAAAGCTGCCCTCTCTAGGCAGTGCACTTCACAAAGACAGACCTTCCTGCTAGATAATCCCAGGTCCTTTCCATTTCATGGGTTCACCAGTGGTCATGTGCTGAGCAGACCTAGGAGGTCCCAAGCAGCAGGTCCAATTCCACCTGGGAGATGCAGCATCCAACATACACACATTCCCGTGGAAATCAGTTAACATCGTCATGCTGTCTCCTAGTCCCCATCCACAACTCTCAGTTTTTGACAACAGTCAACAAAATTTGGCAGACAGACAGAGCTCTTGGAGGTACAAAGTTCCTACAGGGTTTGTGAGAGTTGGTGGCCACGTAGATGACCCTGATCCTCTCCATTCCCCCTCGAGGCTATGAAGAGGAGGCACACACCCAGCTGCTGAGTCTGATGCCGGCAGCTATCCAAACATGACATAATCGGCTCTGGAATAATCTCAGCACATGCTCTTTCTTGCCTAAATGGCAATCCAACAAGCGCAGGGAGACAACATGGAAGAGAGCTGGGAAATTACAGGGAGGCCACAGGGACACAGAAGAAGGTCGAGGCACTGTGGCGGGCAGAGCCCAGAGGGACCATGGAGGAGCTGGTGGTACCATGGCAGGCATCAGGGAGACACACAGGGAACTGGAAATGCAGCACTGGGAATGCTGGGCCGTAATGGGAGCATCACAGGACACAGGTAGGAGACTGGGGTTGCCGTGCTGAGGAGGTCATAAGTCCCTGTGGGAAAAAATCTTTATTGCTTGCGAGATAACTTGTCTTCTAGCAACACGGGATACACGTACTCTATCTAAGCTGCAGTTGGGCACTGACAAGGAGCCAAGTGTCTGTTTGCACTCTTTGGTGACAGAACATACAGCCCTGGCAGAGCCAAAATAGTGGATGCCAAATCTGAATGTGCATGTTAAAGAAGTTAAACCCAGCGTCCACATCCTGTCACAGAAATACAAAATACACACGGGAAGGAGCCAGGCACTTCATCTGCACTGTGGCGCTGTGCTGCTCTGCTCCAAATCGCATGAACCCCAAAACACGCAGTGACGGAGTCAGGATGCCTTTGGGGGTGGGAGGAGGCAGGGACACGTCAGCTGTTATCCCCCAGCAGCAAGCGTGGCCCAGGTGCAGTAAGCGCCAGCAGCCGCAAGGACCTTGCGGCAGACGGAGAGGACACGCATCACGGTGCCAGGGGGCACAGCTCTGCTGCTGTTTAGCACTATGGGCTTTGTCAATAGGGACTAAGCAGGGTGGGGAGCACAAACAGCTCTCCCACCTCTGCAGGCAGGCTTTAACAGCCAGCCCCAGCCCCAGCCCCAGCCCGTGCCCTGAGCCAGCCTTCCTGCCCCCATACCTCTGGCGCATCACAGGTTCGCTCACACTGCCGATGTTATGACTTTTCCATGTCTCACCCCCTGCACTTCCAAAACAGGGGGATGTGGCCCCGCTTCCCCCCATGTCGGTGCTGCTTCGTGGTCTTTCAGGCAGCTGTACTCGGTCCCGTGCCAGTAAGCTGAAGGTTTGCTCAGCCACGCCGCGGCGCCAGTGCTCTGCCATGGCAGGCCACACTCATCTGTATGCAGCCACTGACCATGGACGGCACGCAGCTGCCTTGCCTGCCCTTGAAGGCAGGGTGCATAGACATATTACCTCGCCCAGGCGTTGCAGACAAAATCCATATATTTTGATGTTGACTGTCACTTTGGTAGGACATCAGATATGTCCCCAAGCACTGTTGCAGAAGTAGCTTGCTCTTCAGACCACAGCCCTTTGAAAACAGTCCAGATCTTCCTGTTCTGTGCATGTACCACTTCTCTACGCCTTTTTTCAGCTTTGCCTTAAGTTCCTTGATGCCACCTGTGCACTCGCTACATGACAAGGGCTCCACGCGCCAGTGCCTCTATGCATCAAAGCCCTCTGCGGCAGCCAAGCCAAACGCTGGCACTGCTTGTTATACTGTTTTCCAGGGCAGAGAGGGTCTACACCTTGCTCCTACAGACTCCTTGTCCCAGTACCTCACTGTTTCTGCTTTTTCAGTACCACACCACCATTTTCATCAGCAGACCCAGGCACAATAGTGGCACTGATCTCCTGTGTTTGCATTAAGCACCTCGTCAGCAGCATCTCTCTGTGCGTAGCATCGAGAATTTGGGGAGACGGGTATCAGTTCCTGCCCCAGGCACGGGTTCATCAGGGCCATGATCCTCGTTATGTTTTCTCACTGTTTTGTCCTTCACAGCAGCTGAAAGAGGGGCATAAAAATTTGCTAGGCCCTGGAGGGGGTACTTTGCACTCACTGCATGGTGGGGCCACCATGCAGTGCAGTGAAGGTTATCATGCCCGTGCCCCAACCAATTCACTTCGACAGAAAAGCCAACCCCAGCGGGGGAAATGAACAGATGGATAACCACCTGCTGAAGAGGAAAATGCTGAGACAACTAGGTGCTATGGCAATTTGTATCCTTTCTTTGATCTCAGCTGTATCTTTGTACTGCATATAGAAAGCAAAGAGAAGAACAACAAACCTTTCTGCTAAGCCAGCAACTCTCTCAAATTCATTTTCCTGCTCTGTAACGGGAACAGAGAATCAAACCCCGGCCTGCATTAATGAAAAAATAAGCAAAAGCAGAAGTTCATTAGTGATGAAAGTTGCATTTCCAGCCAATTATTTATTTGCTTTTGCCTCTAAAGAGCCTATCTATGCATTGCATAGGAGCCTGTTGGAAGCACCTCCAGTAAAAGTCTTTGGTCAATTTGTTTAAACTCTTATCACAATAAACAGCAGGATTAAACAGAATGTCATCCACTTGGCTTCATCACCATCTCATTTGTTCCCATGTCGAAATCTGGAAAAACTCATCACCCTCGCAGTTTGTCCCAGAGTTCAGCAGATTCAGGTTCTGTTAGTCCATGACTAAAAACAAGTTTCAGAAGAAAGGCCCCAGGAGGATGATCCACCTGCAGCCCTCCAAAAACTATTTGAGTGAGGACAGAGAGAGCCCTTAGACTCTTGGCTGTCGGTCCTGAACTCAGAGGGGATTTCCAGGATCTGAGGAGTTCAAGTGACTTAACCTGAACCTTTTAGTTCTACTATACCCACTCCACTCGTGCAAGTCACTTGGCCTCCAGGCAAAATCACTTCAGTCTTGTTCCACACAAGTCCTGCAAACAGCTTGGCATAGGTGGCAAAAAGGTGACGACACCAGCGAGTAGAGGAATTGCAATTTCAGCGTCCTTCCAACGCCTGCTACTGATTCAAGGTGCTCATTGAACAAGGAAGGTGCAAAGTACCTCTGTGTGATTTGGTAGCCATTGACGGCATGCATCGGTCCACTATTTTGTCTCTATCAGACAAATCCACTTTAGAAGCTCTCTAGATCTACAAGCTCTGCATCTCAGCCTATGGAAAGTACCTTCACGTTATTACTGTCACCCTGCATCCCCCTCATTATTTATGCCTGGCATTAAGCTATGCACTCACTGTAAGCCCTTGCATGCGTGGTTGTCCCTAGTGCACATGGTGCATCTGCATGCATTATTTTAAGCCTGGAAAGAACCGAGCGACATGGGGCTTTTTTTTCTGGCAGAAGCTGTACCAGCCAGAGCTGCATCAA